TTAAAACTCTTTTACTGTGGGGGTGACAGCACTGTGGCAGATTGCCTTGATAATCTGTAGGGTCTCCCTTCTTGGAGATACTTAAAAGCCTCCTGGACATGGCTCTATGCCCCTGCTTAAGCAGTCAAGTTGGATCAGATGACTTCTTGAGGTTCTAATCTCAGCCATTCTATAATTCTGTGAAACCAGCACTTTCTCTTCTCTACTTGCCACAGAGATGTATAGTATGGAGAACTTGCTGGGACATCTGCTGTGACGTAATTGGAAAAGCAGGATGGAAAAGGACAGATGAAGTTGGGAATTAATCCGGAGGTCGAGACAGTAGTGCTGTTCTATCAGATATGCTAATTTTCTACGCAGAAGTGGGAAGAGAACAGAAAAGCTATTGCCCTGCTTAGAGGACTGGGCTGCGACCATGCTGTGTTTGGGAAAGTAGACGTGACAGCAACTAGATTGCTCTTGTCACCACTGAAAATGTCAGAAGTAACGTTTTGAGGAGCCTCCAGGCACCACCACTATTAATGCCTTTTGTGGCAGCAGCAGTCTTCCTCTGACTAACTCTGAAGTGTTAAGGAATAGAAGTTCAGCTGCTCCAACTATGTTTGCTGTTGGAGCAATTGTTCCTTATCTCCTGGAAGAAAGCAGCGTGCACTCGTGGGACCACAGTGAAGTTTTTTGAAGAGTATTAGTTTATTTGAACATACTGAACTTCTCCTGCAGATTACTCGTGGTCATGACAATGCTTTGGTGGAAGACCCAAGAAAAAATTAGTTTCACCCTCTTCCAGCCTCTGAAATGATTTGCCAGGTCTTTACATGAGACAGCTTTTGACATGAAAGTATTATGTCCAACTTGTATCATGATCTTGTGCAACTAGATCATAAGCTCCCTTGGCAGCATGCTTCAGGAGAATTCTTGCAGGCACATGGAACTCATCTCATACATTTTCTAACAATTACACTTTGAGAGCATTAGGGTCAGACATGCAATTTAAATGAATTGCTTTCAATTTTTAGAAAATTTTCAGTTACTGTCTCCACTAGCTGCATGATATTCTGAGCAAGATACACAAAAACACATTAAGAAACAAATTATTTCTTCTTGGTCTCTTCTGAACATGAGAATCCCATGATTCCCCTCTCTCTCTTTCTCTCTCTCTTTTTTTTTTTTTTTTTTTTAATTCCCTCTAAATGTTTGAGTGTTATCTGAGGATAACAAAGGAGAAAGGGATAAGCAGTGGCTGGAGTTCCTCCAAGTTTGGGATTGGGGTTGCATCAAGGCATACAGGATGGGAAATGTGTGGTCTCAGCTTCACACTGTTGCTGAAAGCATGCTGAGCTCCTATATGAAGAGTTCAGCGTGTGTTTTAAATGAAACCCATGTGTACAGTACATCTGAGTTAGCTACTACTCCTGTCAGGTTATACTTGGATATTCATAGCATCTCAATGGATCTGCTGGTATTGTAGGTTCTCTGAGCAAATAGTGCAGCACAGAGACAAAGTAACAAAGTAAAAGATGAGGTAGTTTAAAAAGAAGAAAGCTTTGGGCAGCTAACAAGTTTATTCTGAATGTAACAAGAAGAATGAAATAGACTCATTTACACATTCCCTGCTATATCAATATATACTATTTTGGTATCTTTCAAAGACAGAAAAAAAAAAGTTACAATTTTTTTTCCCCAGTATTGTACATGATGTTTGTGACGTAAGATACATTTTTTTGGAAAGTGGTCTAAAAACTGTACATTGGAAAACATAGGGAAATTTTGGCTATTTGATGTCCCATGCAATTACCAGATGTTTGCCATGGTAACCCCTGAAAAGTTCTGACCAGAGATTTATTCTCAGGAGGCTGGGACAGCATGCCAGTTGGCTGAGGAAGGCTTGCAGCGTCCAAAATAAGTTTGATCACCACCTGCTGCTACTTAACACAACAGGAGAAAAATAATGGCTGAAATAAGTGAGCTCCTAGAATAAGCTAAAATTGCGTGTGTAATACCAGCTATTTTTTAAAAGCTTCTTTTTTCACTTCTTTTCATCACTGTAGCACCTGGAGATATCTGGAGATAATAGATAGCGTAGCAAAATTTCTGCCAGATTGTGTGGAAAGTTTAACTGGAATCACTTTTTTGAAATGTCATCTTAGAGCAGAATTTTGAGGGATTGGAAAAGTAACTATACTTGTAATGGAAAATACAACGTGTCTGTAACAGGGAACAGCTAAGAAAATGGAATCCAGGTTGTTAGTTATTACTATGGCTGTACTAGCAAGGGTGAAGAGTTGTACTGTCCTATGACTCAGCCTTTGTTTTACACTGCTGTAGTGTAGCAGAAAAAAAGATCAGTGGAAGCCTTGGAATTGTGTTATTTCTTATCAATCCATTCATAGGTAGAGAAGTGAGTTATGGGATGTACCTGCAGAGTCAAATTCTTTTGCAAGATCATCAGTAATTTATTTGTAGATGTTTCTGTGAAGAAGAAACAGTTTATCACGGAAATTAGCATTTAAGGAATGAGGCCTTAAACTCCATTTAATCCTTATGGCTAGCTGTATACCTAAAGAAGTAAGGTGATCCTGGAGGCATATTCATGTGTGACCGAGAAATTATGAATATTGTTCATTTTTTCTCTCTGAAAATTTAATTTAAATATGTATTCTGCTACTTGTTCTATGTTACCTAACCTTTGGAGTCTTATGTGGTGATAGAGTGCTGCTTTGGAGAGAAGTCTGAGGTAGCTGATGTTTCTCTTTTCTGACAATGGAAAGCTTGAATAGAGGCAGGTTATACAATGGCATCCATTTGTTTTTGAAAGTCTCTGAACATGAACTCAAGAGTTATATGGAAACTGAAGTGGAAAGAATGTTTTTATGTAGTACTCGCAGTAATTGAATGTCTTTATAATTTACTTCTTTTTGAACTGCATATTTTTTTTTTTTAATTGTGCTATTTACAGTATTATATTAGAACTAACCTGAGGTGAGAGATCTGATTATACTAAAAAAAGTGCACTGAAATCAGTAGCTTTTTCTATATATTTGGCTGAATCTCAGTATAATCTTTGAGAGTTAAGCTCTGTAAAATGATGCATTTTCATGCACTCAAAAGTGTCCTTTTGTGCTTTGTTCAGCATATGTTGAATCAGTTACACAGTAATGTTTTTGTTTATTTGCCTGTTTCAGATGGGTAAACAAGATCAACTTGGCATTCAGACATATATACATCTGAAAAAGAACAAAATGGTTTAAAAAGATAAACGTTTCTGCAAGCAAGTTCAGTTGATTCAATTAACGCAATGTTAATGATGTTACTGGCCAGGGAAAATTGTGTATCGCAGGTGTTGTCAGGTTTTACTCTTTCAGTTTTGTTCCTTGACTTAGCATGCATAGGGAGTGTGTGACAACGGAGCGATGGCAAAAGATTTTGTGATAGCACTCACAATGAAGGCAGAAGAGGAATACAAATTATTATGTCAGCCTTGAAATTATAACTTCTTGTGGGTATAGAATTATAGAATGACTTGGGTTGGAACAGACCTTAAACCCCACCCATCCCAACCACTGTCACGACCAGGCTGCCACCCACCAGATCAAGCTGCTCAGGGTCCCATCTCCCTAGGGATGGGGCACTCACAGCTTCTCTGGGCAGTCTGTGCCAGTGCCTCACAACCCTCTGAGTAAAAAATGTCTTAATATCAATTCTAAATCTCTCCTCTTTTAGTTTAAAATCATTCCCCCTTATCCTATCACTATCAGACAGTGTGAAAAGTCATTTATTTAATTAAACTTTTAAATGAGGCACACATTTGTCAATAATCATTCTGAATGTGATTGGAGCTCTAATTTTTATGTGTGTTAAAATGGCTTTTAACATTGAAACAACTATAAATTGTCTTTTTTTCTTTTTCTTTCTTTTTTTTTTTTTTTTTTCCTTAGTTTTGCTGTGACTACAAAACTATCACAGTTCTTTACAGTGGACTTTCTAAGATGGATAGTGATCTTCATCTCACTTAAAATTTTTCTTATATTGCCCTGGTGTGCCCAGCCATCAAAAACTTACTCCACAATGATAGTAATGCTATCTTGCAGTGTTAACATTTAAAATAGGGAATTAATTCCTTCTGTTAAATTTAAATGCAATCCTTCCTTTATACTATACTAATATAGATAAGAGATTAATTACAGTTGTACTGTAGATATATTTATATTCAAATATTTATAATTTTGGAAGGTCATTTTTGTATTGATTTTACAAGATGCAATAAACTAATGCATGGAGTAAGAATGTAAATACAGCAACACAAATTAAATTAAATATCCAGACTTGAGTATAAAAAAAAGGAAGCAGTAATTATTTACATTATGATTCAACATTCTGCATCTTGATTCAATGGAAGTTGCTAGAGGGGAATTTCAGTGTAGACTGGCTTTTACATAAACATTCCGTGCTTCCAGCAGTGTTGGTTTGGCTTTCCTCCAGGAGATAGGATGGTGAGGCACAGAATAGATTACCCAGAGAAGCTGTGGATGCCTCACCTCTGAAGGCATTCATGGACAGCTCGGATGGGGCCATGGGCAGCCTGGTCTGGTGGGTGGCAGCCCGTTTCACAGCAGGGAGGTTGGAACTGGATGATGTCTAAAGTTGATTTCAATATAAGCCATTCTATCATATGGTTCTGTGGTAGCTAACTATAGTAGTTTAATGGCAGGCATCATTTCTAAATGCTAATGATGTTTCTACCTTTGTAAACTAAACAAGGCTTAAGCTTGGGCATTGTCCTGTAGTATTGTGCACTCACTTCATTTTTATTCAGTGATGCTCTTTAATGCCTTTCCAATTTCACAAATCCTATGACAGATATTTGTAACCTAGTGTAGTTGCCTTAGTTAAATTTGTACACTAAGAAAAATGATGAGACTTGAGCAGAATTTCATGAAAATTGTGGTAAAAGAGCTAGTCTTTATTTTTTATTAATGAGACTTTCTGAAACTTCTCTGAAGGTGTGAACGTCGATTTGAAGGGCATAGTAGCCACTCCTACCCTTGTGGAATTGCAGTATCTCCTTGTGGGAAGTTTATAGCCAGTGGTTCAGATGACAAGTATGTAAGTAATGTTTTTGTTTATTTTTCCTCCAAAACTACAGTAGATACTTGTATTGTACGCAATGTAGTTCTTTCATGCACATTCCTAAGATTCAGCTTAATGTGCAAAACTGAGGTCAATTGCACTTTTATATGCTTAATTACTATGTAGCACTAGCATTTGATTCCTGATGCTTTTTTTTTTTTTTTTTTTTTGTATTTTGTGTGGGAAATGAACAAATTTTGTCACTCGTAGTGATTGTTAAGAGCTAATCTCTCAAAATTTTCACAGTACTTGACTCTCAGTTGTCATATGCCATCATAGTTGAAGAGAATGTTATCTTCTGTAACACAGCTTTATGCAGTGTGCATAGTGTCTGTGTATTTTACCATTGGAACTGTGTAGCAACTACACATCAATTTATTTAGGCAATCAAACACAGGGTGGTGAAGCTTTTGTTGCTGGTTTCTTAGGAACATTGAATACAAAATGAAAAGACCCTCACCTGTGTTTAGAATTTTTTGTGCATCCCTTGCAGACTAGGTCCTTTCTCACTGTCTGCTATATTTAAATTCGCTACTCCTAGCAAAGAGTCTTGAGTAAAAGTGTACTGCTACCTTTTCTGAGTTTGCACATAATTTTAACTTAATGTCCTGTATTGTTGGCACAGTGTTTTCCCTGGTGTTTAATAAGAGATAGATACTTGCTAGCTATTAGTATTGCTCTTTGAAATTGGGCTTATAAATGCATTCTTCCAAAATACTTGTTTAGGAAAGCTGTCTAACTTTTAGGTCTTTCTAGGTGACTCATTAAGAAGTTGACTTCAATTTCAAGAAGTTAACTTCAAATTCAGAGCAAATGGAATTTACTTTTGTAGACAGTTTGAAATATGGACTCTAATCATGTGTGAAGGTTTTATTGGCAGATTTGTGAAGATTTGGCAATGACTAATATATTCTCATGGTTTCCATGATAAGATACATTTTTCAAGTTTCTGGTAATTTGCATTTGAGAATGTAGTTTTCAATACAGAACAGAAGCTTTTATTTTATTTGTAAAATGAAACATATCTAATATTGATCCCAGCGCATGATACATACTATATAATTAGTTGAGATCCTAATTAAGGTTGAGAGTGAATAGTATAAAAAGAAGTGTAGTTGTAAAACCTTTTCTCTTTTGCCATAAAGCTTTTGTTAAGAAAGGCTGCTGATAGAAAATAAATTTATAGCTTATGATTTTACCCTTACTCCAAATTCTTGGCAATTGGTAGCTCATTATAGGAAGCTGAATAGCTAGATTGCATCCTGCTCCAGTTGGCACGTAGTCCCCGGTGGGCACAGTGCCAGTCAATACAATTTAGTGTGTCTCATGGGTTGGAATTCTGCATAATTTACATCAATGTCCATAGATGTCTTTCATTGTTCTTGCTGTCCCCACTGAAAATCTGAGTCAAGTTTCAGATTCTGAGAAACTTGCTACAGCTCTACTGTTAGGACAAAATACAGCTCAGGGACATTTGTAGACTTCTCTTTGAAACTTTTTGACTGATTATATTTTTGTCTTTCCTTTGGAAAAAAAGAAAAAAAAATTGAACATGACAAGGAATAGTTCATTAGTTCATTCATATTATTAAACAAGTAACATTCTAACAAATTGACTGGTGTGCAATGGGAACAAGTTTAAGAGTACCAAGAATTCAGATATTTTTGCAGATAATATTCAATGAGTTAATGTACATTAAGTGTTGATGAGTTAATGGCATTATAAAATTATAATATGTAAAAACATATTACTGCTGGTAAAAGTTTATTTGGTTATTCCTAAAATAATGAAATGTATCTTTCTACTGATGAGTAACTACACCTCGATCATCTTTGATTTTAGTTTATCACATGCAATGCTTCCACCCTATGGTTAACAAATACAATTGATTTTTAAGTCAGTAAGGGAAGAACTGGGATATAATTGACAAATATTAATTACAAAATGACTTTTGTATTCTACAATGTTTGCCAGAGAGAAATACATGCTGGCTGCATTTTCTAACAGCAAAATCAAAACCATATTCCTGCAGGGCAAAGAGTAAGAAAACTGAAAGATGTTGTTATAAATAGAGTTGCAACTTCTGTATGCTTTTTACTCTATTATGAAATACACTGCTTGTTTGATGCAAAAACTAATTGGTATAGCTTCTGTTTGGCTAAAGTAACCTCTTACTTTGATTTGAACTGCTTTTGTGTGTGTACATATTGTAAGTCATGTGATGCAAGCGTTCCCGTACCTGGCTACTCCCAATTGAAAAGAATCTTTGCCAAAAACTGTGTAGGACTTGACAGTTTGATCAAAGCAGGCACCCACAGTATCCTGGTTTTGAGCTGTGTTAAGCCTTTTCATAATTCATAGTGATTAAAAAATCTAGAAAGTTAGCATCTAATATTGGTTCCGGTCTTCATCTTAAGAAGCCTAAGGCTGCAAATGAAGTGGGTTGACTCTCTTTTCAATATAATTTCTGTCTGTTTAACAAGCGGACATTTGAAGTTTCTTACTATCAAAGAACAGTGCCAAGGATGTTAGACAAATATTGCTGCTTGATTTAGATTTCCATTTTCCTGGTTTCTGTAGAAAAATGTTTGCCTAAATATTATCCGATCAATGAAATCTTATTCTAAAAGGGTAGAAGTATTTGAGAAGTCTGAAATGCTTCTTTTAAAAATAGAAACGTTCCTGTGCTCAGTGTAGTCCTAGTTACTTTTTTACTTCATGTCTAATTAGGTTCTTTTTTCTTTTTCGTTGTTTTGTTGTTGTTTTTTTTTTTTTAATACCTTGAGGCTCGCTGAATAAATTCCAAGTTCCCAGAAATGAAAAAGGGAATGCAGTAGTAAAGTTTTGGGTCTTAAATCGTTTTCGGATTATGATGTTTCTTTTCAAAATTTAGACTTTAGTGGCACATTTTGGCCCCATTGATGATATCCAATTTGCTAATTTAAAAGTCTGTTTCCATATCAAGTCTCACAGGCTGGGTTTGAGTGACCCATACTGAAAACCCAGAGTATTTTTTCAGCATAAGTGGTTGCTACATCAATAACAAAAATGCAAGGGTATTGTATGAAGTTGTCTTCTGTTTTATTTAAGCTTTTTAATGAAGTGCAGGATTTTACTCATAGTGATACCTTTAAAGCATGTTCTAAATCTGAGATTAAGTGTAGACCTCCAAAAAATGTGAAGGCACCAAATTCAGAAGTGGTAGAGTTTTTCGTCTCTGGAAGGACACTGACAGTGAAAGGAGGGACAAGATACATGGTATGTTGATTTGATACTTATGCATCAATCCTAATCGCTTGCAGAATTCCTGAATGCTAACATTTGTGCAATATTGGTTTTATAGTTAATTCTCACTTTACAAATGATGCTGATTACATACTAGTTAGGGGTCATATCCAAAGTGATCTGTAAGCCTGTGAATAATGGACATGGTTATACTTTCTGACTCAGTTATTTTCAGGAGCAAGATTCTGCACCTGGCACAATGCACACTGTACAATTTGTTTGTAGTTGACAGTTCTAAATAGTTACAAGGTTGATATTCCATATGGAATTTCAGATGTAGTGAGCGATATATTTAATGTTTTATTCCCTGATGTTTACTTAGTCATAAAATTCACCATTTGAAATCAGACGATCTTTTATGACTTTTCATATTGGATTATATTAATAAATTATTTTATGAGAATGAAAAAGGGAGTTATGTAACAGAATTCTTAGTTTTATTTTTATCCATAATTATATCATATGTTACTTTAAAAATATTCCTTTGGTTTTTGTCCCTCAGAAATGTATTAAAAAAACAGTGCTGCTATCTGTTAAAGTCATCATAGACTTGCTCGCATATATTTTGGCTTTGAGAAACGGCAATAGAGGGAGCTTTACTATTTAAAGTAGCTTAAATATTTTAAGCTTTTTTCCTTATTTTCCCCAGTGTTCCTTTAAACATCTCACAGTATACTGATATTTTGACAATGTTTTATTCAGTGTAGGAAAGCACATTTTTGCTTTAGCAAAGTTCCAAGTCCTGTTCCTTGCTGATGTCTTAAGTTCTTTGAGAAGAAAGGTATTTTGGTCTTCGGAACTTCTTGTTTGAACTTTAGCAAGTCACTTTGTGCATGCTTACTACTGGACCTCATATATTCCAGTGCAGGAAGGGAAGTCCTCCTTTTGGATTACTAGGATACAAATTTGCTAGTTACAATGCTAACAAAGCTGAAATGTTCTTTTAAATCGGACTTCTATAGCTACTATATTTTATATTTTGATTTTGCACAGCCTCTGCTTTATTATACTGAGGGAAAGTGTTGCCTAGCTTGAAACTTTTTTTTTTTTTCTTTACTAAATTAGTATATTAGCTACTTCTGGTATATCTCAATGCTTTCTCTGTTCTTCAGAAATCTGAATGCTGTCTATGTGTTAATGGTGTTCAATCCACAGACCCAGATAAGATAGACCAAAGTAAATCACCAAAACTCATTTGGAGGTTGTGTTGTCAGCACTATTTTCTTCCATATATATCTTCTCTTCTTGTGCTGCTGATTAATGTATTATTAATCATATTAGTCTTTCTGTGGTTCAGTTTTGATGTGTAAAACTGAATTGAGCAACAACATTTTTCCTGTGTTTTTTTCTTTGAGTGAAAAATTAAGTCTACCTCAGTTTGTTACCACTGCAGTCAGTTATTCTGATCTTATTTACATGAAAAGCTTTCATATTGTGTCTGGTGTAATATGCTTACAAACTGCATCTGATTAGGTCCAAAATTACATTACATTATCTCAATAGAAAAGAGGAAAACATCCCCAGATCCTCAAAATATAAATGATAAAATTGTGTGGTGGTTTGCCTCTTGCTTGGGACCATGATTTCACTAAAACTTTTTAGATAGTAATGAATGGAAGATAAAGGATTACAGGTGAAGAAAGGCTCAGGGTTTTGATATTCTGCTTTAGATGTATATGGAGGAGATAGGA